TATTCTGCATGTAGGTTTTCTTATAGGGCTGTACAGAGTCCTAAGTGCACAATTGGGATACTAGTAAAGGCTAGTTCAGAAAAAAAGCTGTTCCTAGCACAGTTGTCTCTGGTAAACATAGCAGAGGTTAGTTTGAAAATTAATTTATTTCAACACACACAGAGGAGACGATGCATATACAAGACAATTCAAAGTAGCATACCTATGGGCTGCAAAATAGCACTTCTAAGTAGGTTGGAAGAAAACAGATGCTTCTGCCTGCTGCAGCGAAAAAACACCCTCAATATTATAAAAAGATGTATAAAAGAAGCTGAGGGACTAATTACTGCTTGAAAGATAAGTAGGATGTCTTAAAGAATGGCTCAAAGCATAAAGGTGCCTAAATTCCTTATCTTCCAAAAGACCTTGGCGGGGGGGGAACACTATCATGACCTAATTCCCTGTTTCCAGATGGATTTTTTCTTTTTCCCCCTGATAGAAGTGTGCCTAGTCACTGCAAAGTATAGCATTCAAGGAAGACTCTATTTTACAAAGATTTCTATAAAACAAATCATCTGTGTGACTCTATATAAGAAACCAAGGAAATAATGCAGCTGCTAGCTCATGACAAGTGGAAAATCTTCTCGTTACTAGTAACATATATCATCCAGGGTTATTTTTCAGTCCCACTACAGTTCACCATAGGGTCTCACAAATGGCTGCACCAGCATAAGGAGGGAGTGGGTGCAAGGGGGGAAAATGGGATCACTTCTTTCAAGTGATTTAAAACATTCATTAGAATTATAGCCTAGGACAAATAACAATTTCCCTGCCTCCGTCTTTTCAATATTTCCTTATATTTTCACTTTTTGGCTCTAATCTTGGAAGCAGCAGTTGCTTTGGGCCAGACCAAAGGCTGACCCTGCACTGCATCTGCTAGGATAGTGGCCAATAGCCAGAACTATAGGGAAAGAGTATAAGAAATATGGCAAGTTTAAAACGAGCCTTCCTCCATCAGCTTCCAATAACCAGTAGTTTAGAAATCTTCACGTGGAGTTCACTAGAACCATGAAAGAATCATAGTATTGCTCCTATAGTTAACTGTTACTTGGAAGAAAGTTTTAAGTTATAAAACCAAACAAACATGTATAAATACATAAAAAATATAGATCTGATCAGAGAAAGGCACCATCATGTCACATAGCTGCAGTAATTATTGCCGTTCACAAGTAGGTGCACAAGCTGTCATATGCACAAATAGAGATGTATTTCTCCAGTCTGCAGTAATTACTAAAAAAAAAAAACAAAACCAAAAAAAAAACCTATACTGAGGGAAAAGTAGTCATGGTAAAGCAGCCCCAAAGCAGTGGAGAAGCCATGCTTCAGAGTCACTCAAGCTGTAGCAATTTGGCTGCTCTCCCAGAGGGACCCATCACCCATACCACCTAGGTCAAACTGACAGCACAGACACCAGAGAAACTTCTCTCCCACACATGCAGTTATGAAACAATGATCAGTCTAGCTGCTTATCCAGAAAGATTCAAAAGATCTATCATGTAAAATAAAACCCCATTGTTCCTGGATTTTAATAATAATTCTCTGAAAAGCATCTCTAAGGATCGTTACCACGCAGGCCTTACAGGAGAGCTAACCATGGAGGACAGACCATACATCTTTGCCCTGGGAAAAGCCATGGAACATTTCTTCCTGGACCCACTGATCAACTGGAAGTGCAACTTTGGTTTGGGAGACATGCAGCTGGAGAGAAGAAAAGGAGGAGAACAAGACAAAGGTTTTCAAACCATAATTGCTGTGAAGACATTGTATTAGAAGTATCTGCTTGCTACTTACTACAGTACAGCAGCTCTCAAGGTTCTCAGACACAGAAAGGGCTCCAGCATCACCAGGAACACACAAAACCTTATATGGTAACTCTACCTTTGCCTTCCTCTGCCTCCTAAGCATTAATGTCCTCCAGTTTCTATGGGTGTTCACCCTAAAGCATTCCCCAAAATAATGAATTGCGTCTCACAGTACGCTGCACATACATAAATAGGAGCAGGCACATGCAAAGTCAGATACCAACATCTGTTATTCTGGGATATTAGTAAAAAAAAAGGCAACAGGGAAACCTCGCAGAACTTGCCTTCACCAACTGCCCTTTGCCCTTTTTTTTTATTTTACTCAAATACAAGTAGTGCTTTAACGTTTTCCTTGAGACAAACTATTCTGATAAATGTTTATGGGGTTAAAAAGAAATTCCCTGCTACGTGAGTAGCTGGATGTTTAGACACTTTGATATAGGAAACATTATACAGTCTCTGCAGCAGTTTGTAGGAAAGTTTGATGCAAGATCAGTTTTCTGTTCCAGTCATGTTCACGTTGTAATTTATAGTAGTAGACAACGAGGTAGCAGCTCTGAGGGAAACATTGTGCCAAAACAGAGAGCACGACACTGCAAATAATACCATTCACAGAGCACCAGTTTGCAGGCTTTTGAGGGCTGGTTTGTTTGTGTTTTGGGGGTTCTTTTGTTAGCCTTTTTTTTTTTTTGAGACAACAGAAAGAATAAAAGAGTGCAGACCTCAAATCCTCCCACTTACTTACAGCAAAATGATTGATAATACCTCCCAGATCTTAATCCAGACCAGGAGTCCACTATATGAGGTGCTCTCCAAATAATGCAGTCCTTTACCTTTACAGGAGTCACCTTTTCCTGCTTACCTGCAAAAATCATCCACATGTGGTTATTTTGCAGCCCAAATCCCAAGCTCTGCAGGAGAGACCTAGTGTTTTCTCCACTGCTGCAGATGTTCCAGATCTTCATCCAACCTCTCTTCGTACAGTGAATACACTGCCTAGTATTGCTAGTAAACATGAAAATTTTATTAAAACAACACACCCCCCTCCCTGTGGTAATAGGGAACAAAGTTTCCCCACCTTCATTTTCATCTGCAATTTGTTCAGTTTTAGCTTGGATGGATCTGTGGAAACGAGTAAAAGTAACAGCAACCATTTACTGCTGACTGTAGTGCCAGGTAACGTTCAATCACCGTCCAAACAGGAAACAAAACAAGTATTTTATTTGAAGTAACATTTTATTTTCTGTTAGTTTTGTATACGGAGCTTCAGCCTAGTTAACACAAACCGTGCACTGCAGGTAACTAGGGACAGGAATGCTTGCATGCTATGCCTTTGCAATACCACCAGCTCTAGAAAGCACCACTTAACATACTTTCCAAAACACCAAACTAACAAAGTAGTATTTGCACAAGAACATTGCATTTAATGGCAAAAAACATGTGTAAACCTTTCCAGCATTACTCATAAATACAGCATTTACCTTGAAAGGTTAGGCCATATCCCTACAGGGTAACTTGTGTTATGGGAGACCTCTCTGAACAAGGGCTTGCTGTGTTCATAAGCTAAGGCTTGCTATGAAATGCCCCAGTGCCTTCTACAAAACTGTAACTTGGCCCTTGAGCCAAGTGCTGGTTCTGCTTTGACCAACACAGTCCAGATACCCACATGCAAGTTGCACCAAAGGAAGAATTTGCCCAAACCACAGCTGATCTTTATCTTTCAGCCTCATACAATATGCTCCTGGTGTTGTTCTCTGACAATTCCAAGTGGTCAAAACTTCCAAAACTTTCCAAAGTGACCTCTGGTTGTGGTCAACTGCTTTAATACCAGGCATCAGACTTTCTCTAGGACACCACACAGGTAACTCCTCTTGAAATTAAGACAGGTTTTTAGAGTAGCGAGAAATCTACATTCCAATTTTTAATTTAAAAGTTTAGATTTAAAAACTTTACTCTAGAGCTTTAAGTTGCTGGATCCTCCATTAGAGCATACTCCATAAGGTCAAAACTTCAGCTTTTTGGGCTGTGGCTGCATCGACGCTAGACTCGATTAGTAACAATGCTGAAAGCCCTTCATTGTTTACTGTTTCATCGCCTCTTCCTCAAGTACCTTCCAGTAAGATCTGCTTGCAAATCGGAGGTTAAAGGTGGTCCAGACAAGCACAGACAATCAGTGCATACTGCACTCTTGTAGGGGTTTAGCTTGGTTTCAGGCTTTTTTCCTGTAAATAAATTTCTATTTTAAATAGCTTGATTGAACCTGTATATATGTATATTTAAACTTCCCTTAAAAGTTCACCTTCTTAATTTCTCTCAGTGGCATAGCAGTTACAGAGGGGTGAGCACACCCATTTGATGTTATCTGGGGAACTAAGCAATGAGCATAATGAACACAGCCGCACGGCTCTTCTGTTAATCCACCCTCAATGTCTGCCTACACAACAGCAGCAGAACGCGCAATGTATCTCCTTGCAGCATTCATCCCACTATGGAAGTAATAACAGCTTTTGTGCTTTTGGTACTCGCAGGTCCTGACAATCCACGGTCGGACATCCTCATGCACACTGGTGTCTCCTCTGGGCTTCCCATCACAGCCAGGTTTCTGGTATAGCTTTAATAAACCATCAGACTACCTATTTTGAAAGCAAGATAAGGCGAAGAAAGAGAGAAGGTAAGTATGAACTATTTCATGAACTTTGTAAACCAAGAAAACAGGTCACAATTCTGTCCAACCACGCCTATAATCCTCCTCAAGATGCACAGAAACTGTTCAGAGCATAAATACTCAATGAATGCCAAGCCTGCACAGTGAGGCAGGTTTATTCTCTCTGTAGGAGCTTAAGGAGGGTCTCACTACATTGCTTACATTTTGTTTCCATGCACAAAAAGTCTCTGAGATGTATTTATTCCATTCATACGAAAAAACAATTTCATGTACTTAAAAGGAAAAAAAGGAGAAAGATGGCAGCACAGAAAGTTTTCTTCATTACAAAGTGTTTTTCCACCAGGCAATTATTTATAAGAACTTTTGTTAACACTGGAGTTTAGGCTCTGGAACGAAGTGGATATATTGTTTACTAGCTTTGCCAGTCAATCTTCTCTTACAAAACCTCACCCTTCCCCCTCTCCTTTTCCAGCCAAGTCAGTCACTTGAATAGCTCAGGAGTTTCCTTTGTCACCAAGATCTCCCTTTCCACAAATTGTCCCTTGAATAATCCCATCTTCAATGTAGTGCCCCGAAGTATCCGTGCTCCTGCAGAGAACTGTCGAGGGGATCCGCGATGAGCGTCTGTCCTGGCTCTTATCCTCAGAAGAGCAGCAAATCATCCTTTTCATGGTACCCCACATTTCATCATCTTTGTATGAATAAATTATTGGATTCATGACAGAGTTCAACAGGGCCAGGAGAAGAAACCACCTTTTAACATTCTGAATCCCACAGTAGGTGCAGTTCAGACCATCGAGCAGTAAGACGACCAGGCCAGGGGTCCAGCATACAACAAAAGCACCTATAAATAAAGGAGACCAAAAAAAAAAAAAAAAAAGACAAAAAAAAAGACTTCAGACTGCTAGGGGTTTGAGGTTTTTTTGCATCTGACAAGATAATTGGGTTTATCAAAATTCTACACAAAAATGATAAAAGCAGGAGAGGACAAAATTCTAATGACAGTAGCAAAATTGCATCTACTACAGCTTCTCTGCCAAGCCCCAAGCACTGGCAGGGCAGCTCTCAGAAGTCTGCAGGAAGCAAGAATCCAGCTTCTGTCAGCATCAGCTCAAACACAAGTGGGAAAGGTCATCACGACAGTGATTTGCCCACACTGATAAATAAACAAGAGCTCTGGAGCATTAACCAGCAGAGGACTGGTGCTTTGAAGGCAGACTTCCTCTCCATCTCTCATATGCTGGAGGAGAAGATACCAGGTGGCCCCCACAATATGATCCAAAGGAAAGACGTATCTTCTGTCACACTACAGCTGACTCTGCAACGCTATGGGCATACTGCCCAATTCATAAAACAAGAGTCACATCATTTAAACACGTCCCGGCTGGAAACCCTGCAGCTACTGTAGGATGCACGCCGTTGTCTGCGACACGCCAGCGCTGCTGGCTGCCCAGTCAGAGCAGCAGCCCACCTCTCTCCACTGCTCCCTCCCTGGCTGTGCATGCTGGATACTTGAGACCCAACAACTGGGTTCCAGGAAACAAATTAACTTGTAAACAAAAAGAGAGCAAGAAACGAATAGATGAGTTAGCAAAGATGAACCAAAAATGTAGCGGTCAAGGCAAACAACAGAATAAAAAGCAAAAAAAGACAAGAAGGATGAGGAAGTATGAGAGCAGTGATGGGGGAACAAGAAAACTCTGCAAGAGAGGCATTTCTCCAAAAGATAGCAAGAAACTGCAGGACAAGACCAGGAGCAGCAAGTTTCTCGTGTTTCAGCTGGGAGGTAGGAATAACAACAGCCCCTGTGAGGAAGAAGTAAGACACAAAGTGATAATAAAAGCTGAAAAAGGCAAAGTAGGACAACACACTCCTCTCCCACCAGCCTGTCAAAAAAAAAAAAAAAAAGTTAAAGAAAAGGGGGAATAAGGGAGAAGAGATATTACAGTGAAGACAGCATAGAAATCACAGCTTAGAATGAAATTCAATATTGCGTTTGCATCTTTCCATGTTATTGCACATCCCCACCATAAAAGCAGGGGTGTGGGCCAGACTGGTGGGGAGGGGGAACATCACAACCAAACGCAGGCCTTGGCCGTGAGCCTGGGAGGGGTCCTGAACTGCCCCATCTGCCCTCCTGCCTCTCCCCGGCACCGCAGCCTGTCATCCCTTGCCTTGAGCCCAAGGAAGGAGTAGCCAGATGCATGATAATACTAACCTAGCACAAGCCACAATTGCTGTCTGACATACAGAAATAGAAAATTACAACTCTGCACAGCAGTCACAGTTTGAACAATGTACTGAGGAATTTCCAATCATTTATAACAGCAGAGTTTCCCCTTTTTTGGGCTTCGAAAAAATAATCAGACAAATAAGGATGATAGCAGCTACGTGCTAAAAAGCTCTCCTGGGGGTGTTGGCATCTGTCCAACAATTTTGGTAGGGAAAGCAAGTCCAGCTCATTTTTTTAAAGCTGCTGGTTTTCCCATATCTGAGCTGTGCAAGCAGTGGGAGGGCAGCCTGGCTCAGGGCAGGACCCAGGCAGTGCCAGAGCCAGGACTCGGCAGCACCTCAGGCAGCCCATCGGCTGTGCGGTGCGCACGGGCTGCTTTCGGCAGCACTGGGCGCTTATCCCCATCCAGGATTTTAATGGACACTGTGCTCATCTGATGGGCAGGCCATAATGGTATATAAAGTGGATTCATGTGATTTAGTAAGCATTAGGATTGCTGAAAGATGTATCCAGGACAAGGTACCACAGATCTTGCTGCAAATCTATGCTCCTGGAGTCCAGACAAAATTCAACCAGCTGAGTTACTATGTTACAGGCAATATTGTACAGAACAGAAAGGCAAGAGACCACCTCCTTCAGAAACTGCATTTTCTACCCTGCTGTACCAAGATTTTTGTGATGCTAAGTACTAATTTCATGGTGTTAGTTTTGAGATACTGGTTAACATCAGTAACATTCCTCCATTGCCCACTGGCATTAGGAGCTGCAAGCTGCTACCACAACACTTGTTTTCTCTGGTCAGTCTCTATACTACACACTGGTTTGGCTCCAGCATGCTGAGTAAGCAGTTGTGACACCAACTCTCTCTTACAGTCTACAGTGGAGAAAACACGGTACTGATTTATTGCCCTGGGGTTCACCAGCAAATCCCACCCGTTTCAACAAGCACTGGAACCAGACCACCCAGACAACAATACTGTGTCTACTCGAGTGTCTCAGTTAAGTATTTGGACAGAGAGCTGTCGCTAGCCACCAAGGGTCACTGGCAAAGTTGCCAACACACCAGCTCCATGCAGAAATTAAGATGGTAACAAACCCTCCTTAGAACAAGCACTGAAAGCATTTTGACTACTCGTCCCACAAAGCATGCAAGGTCCAGCCCTGCTTTCATGAAATCAGCAGGAGAGGAAACAGACCCCAAAGCCACGTTTTAACAAAAGACACAGAAATCTCTCCTTCAAACAAAACCCCAAGATTGCAGGCAAGATTAGTCCATGAACTGCTAGGATGTGTGCCTGTCTACCTATACAGGCAAAGGTTTCAGTGGCAAAAGTAAGGGAAGACAAAAGACACCTGAGGCATCTCTCTGCACATTTCCCCTGCCCGACGACTGAAGACAAGGGTAGGGGGCAATGCAGTGACAGTGTCAAAGTTACTGGCTAATGCTTTCATGGGGCTGTTGCTTTGACTCCATCAAAAATACAGTTTGCTGTGTATGGAGACAAGTGATTCACACCCTGCTCTTAGCCACAGAGATGAAAGCAAGGCATGGCTCAGACTCGCAGCCTTGCTCGGATTTTGCTATTTTTACCACAGAGCTTTCAGAGGGAACCATGGTTAAGCATAAATATATACCTTTGTCTTGGCCCTTCAGCAATTTTCTTGTTTGCAGACTTTTTATCCCATAGGAGCTCCTCTCTCTGACAAAGTGCCACACTCCAAAAAGAATTTAATTTCTGGGACTCTCCAAAATTCACAGAAGTGACGTGAAATACAGCCTGGCTGCAACATGGATAAGAACAACAGCTCTGAGTCTTCCCACCGGATTACAGAAGATCAGGTGTCACAATGCCTCAAGGTTAGTTTGAGGATTTTCCATTAGATTTAAACGTGGATTTTCTTGTAGATTACATCATCTCTGTTTGAAAATTAATTCCTGTGTACCTGGAAGCACTACTGATGCTTCGGCAGCATCATGTCATAAAACTGCACATCAAAGCTGTCCCTGAGCATGGCAATGCTCAGAAAAAGAAAAAAAAAAGAAAAAAAAAAAGAATACAGTAGCTTCCAGTTGCCTTTGCCACATGTGCACCCAAGTTAAAACAGCAAGTTACCAATTAAACTATAAATTCACTGAAACTGAAAATCATCCACCCCAAAGCTGCTATTTCAGCAGGAATCTCACTGCCAAGTTCAGATGAGCTACCACATACACACCACCTGCAAGTCACGTACCTGCACACCTGCGGCCGCCCTTCTTCAAAGCTACAGTCACAGGCTTAGCTAGGACTATGCCACAAGGTCAGCCTAAGAGAACTTTAGTCCCTTTTGCTAGGTGTCCTGGTTTCAGCTCAGATAGAGTTAACTGTCTTCCTAGTAGCTGGTACTGTGCTATGTTTTTGAGTTAGGTATGAGTTAGTTATCTGTCCCAGCTGAAACCAGGACACTAGGTTTCACATCTTTCAGTTTCAACCAGATCACTTCTTACGGTTCAGCATGCTAAAGGAAAGCCTTGTTTCTATCATGTGATGGACCATTTTAAGGGTTATGGTAGAAAAAGGTAGGTGGCAGGGACCTGAGTCCTAGCCTCTGGAAGGGGCCATCCAAGCCCAAAAGGTGGTACAAAAAGCCACCTGCAGCTGTGATCACCGTGGATCCACGAAGTCACACTGAGACCCAGATTCCCCCAACTCTTAACTGCAGGGCCGCAGGAGGAGAGCGCCCCGAGAGGAGAGCGATGTTGTGCTGGAGGGGCAGCCAGCCCCGGGCCCAGCCTCCCCGACCAGGGAGACGGAGGCAGACAGGAGCAGCAGCGTGCCAGCAGCACCCAGCTACACGCAGCCTCCTTCCACGCAGCAGCGGGGCAGCAGGATTTGTCCCAAACCTCCCACGAAACCGACAGGGCACATTAACGAGAACTCTTGTTCTCATCGTGCTTCATCCAGCAACAGAGCACCTGGGAATTACTTTTAGTTAAGACCATGTCAGGCACATACTCCAAAGCATTTTCAGATATTTTGGAACAAGCCATTAAAAATAACTGCCTTGGGCAAGATCCACATGCTGCATATAGCTGTAGGTTGTTGCATCAGTGTATGTAAGCAGAATTTTGGAAGAATTACTTCGGTCACTTGGTGACTCCTTTGGTAATTGGAGAGCTCATAAAACATGCTATTCAGTTTCCAATACATTTTGCACAGTGTGCTTGAATGACTGGGGCAGGAATGCACATTTCAAACTGTTTTAAAAAACAAATTCTCATTCCTAGAAAGAAAAGTTTATAAAAAGCCTCTCAGAGTCAAATTTTGGAGAATTGATATGAAGGAACGTGCCAAGATACACTTCCTCTGACACAGGAGTTTGGGGTAGATCTTGCACACAGCAACACATGCACTAATTCAACTTCTTTGGAAGAAGGCTCTGTTTTGATTTTGTTCCTGACTGACAAAGTAAATACACAAAATTGTCATCTCTAAAGTAGCAGTCAGGCTTTCTAAGTTAAATTTGCCTGGCCCAGCATACAGTATCATTAAATACTTTGCCCGAATCATAGTTTAATCTGGTGGCTGAAAAACCATATTCTGTGAGTAAGAGAAAGCTAATGCTGATCTTTAAATCAACCCATAGTCCCAAGGCCCCTCTCCCTAGTAAAAGAAAGAGTAAGTTGAAAATGAAGTTTAAAGTAGGGTTTATTTCCACGCAGCACCACAGCCGTGGTGACCACTGAAGACCTGCCACAGGCTAAAGGACCGTGAGGGATTAGCAAACGGCAGCCACCATCGCCGTCCTTCCAACTCCCACATCAGTCGGCTGGTTGTCCTCCCCGGAGCGCAGACCACCTCTGCTCCGACCTGCAAACACGCATGGGTGGCACCGACAGCTACCAGTGTTATTCCAACACTCGCTCAGCACCCTCCAACTTTGGCTTACACAAACCAAAGCAATATTAACTATATAAATATAAATTAGACAAGGCTATGCATGATGATTAATTTTTATGTGACTTCCCAGAAAGCAGCCTGCCATTCTGCCTTCATAGAAATGCTTTTTGGAAGCGCTTTTCTTTTTGTCTCTTTCTAATGCAGCAGTTAACTACAGTCTATCTGATGCTTATGCATTAGGGCAGGATCATATTTGAAGCAGTTCAGAGTTTTTCCTGCAGGGATTTTCTCCTTCCAGGTGGACGGTTCAAGTTTCACTACACAAGAGCTTCAGGTGGGGCATAAGATTGAATCTTGCCCCTGCAAGTCAAGGGGGGACAGAACAACCACCACATTGTCTCTCTATAGGTGCCATAAAATCAAGGGGAAAAAAAAAGACAACTGGAGAGGGATTTAGAAGGGAAAGGCTCTGGCAGTGGACAAGCCAACTTCAGAAGACACAGGAGTGTGAGAACCTTGTACTTGCTTGAACCGTCAGTTCACTTTCATTTCCAAGGTCAGGCACTGTGAAGTTTAACTGATCTCAGCTTCTAAAGCATTTTAAAACATCATTTGGTAGACAAAGGTGTTGTGTTCTATAGCACTATTTCAGAAAGAAAAAAAAGAGAAAAAAAAAAGAGAGAGAGAGAGAAAAGAAAGAGAACCAGATACCAGACTATGGTGCAAACAGCATCCATAGACCACAAGGGGAAGAAAGTGTCCTCAGCCTGAGCTTCCTACCCTGGCAACTCCCACCTCCATGAAAAGTGACACTTTTCTCCCAGATCTCTCTAGTACTACTGTGCTGCAGTACAACACAGCCGCATCCCAGGTATACATGAACACCAGCTTCCCCAAAAGCTCCAGCTTTCTTGTGCTGCCTCATACAACATCAGAACAGTTGTCAGAGCAGTAAAGCCATATTTGTGGTTTTAGAGTCCCCCACCACCTGAGCCCAGCTTCACAAGTGTCCTGGTGTGTCCCCCAGCTCCACCTGCAGCAAGCCACACTCCCGTGATGCCTGGCTTCTGGAAAACACCTTGGTCAGATTCAAGTCTTCATGGGAAAAATTGACTGCTACATCCAGTATCTTGTTCCAATGACCAATCATCTGCTCTGTGCATCTTTAATTTAATAAGCAGCTACATCACAACTAGCTGATGAAGTGATCCGAGCTGCGCAAATATCAACAGCGTCTCTAGGGCAGAATCCAGGTCAATCTCCTGTTATGGTCTAGAGATCCAAGGCCATACTGTATCATCATCTGACAGTGTTTTGTACTACGCAATCTTCACAGAATGAAGGTGAATTCTCCCCTTGCAAAGCAAGTATCTGTCAAAGCCACAGACCCACCAGGCATCCCCTCCTTTCCCCAGGGAAGGTGTGTTTCCAGGGGGAAGCCAATAGGAAGAAGTGCAAAGAAAACTATCCACATCCAGCCATAGGATTTACGGCCTTGTGCAGATATTAAAGAACATTATTTTGAAAGTGTTCTACTAGGTAGTTGTGAATCTTCACAAGTCTTCCTCCAAAGTGATTTTTTTATTTCTCCCCCTGCCCCCCAAACAAAACCCTGTAGGTAACTTGTGTTTTGTAACAAGCTACCTACAAAATAGAAACACTTTTCTTCTGCATGTTGACCAGTCCTCCACTTTGCATTTCAGTGAGAGGTTTTTTGTTTTGGTTTAGGGGGTTGGAAGTTTTTTGTTTTGTTTTAAAAAAACCAAGCAAAACCAAACCAACACACAAACCCATTCATTGGCACTGCCAGCCTTGCACGCCATGGTTTGTGGTCTCTTACCTAATAGAGTCATGACAGTCTTCATAAGCTTCACAGGGGTTCTCCTACGGCTAATGGATCCACTAGTGTGCGATGACAAGACATTAGTTTTCCTCTGGACATACATGTAGATCCTTATGTAAACCACCACCATAATGAAGAAGACAACTAGGTTTAAGACACTCCAGAACACCAGGTAACTTCTGCTGTAAATAGGTGCCAGCGATGAACAGGCGGTAATGTCACAGAGGCAGTTCCAACCCAGGGTGGGAACAGCACCCATGAAAATAGCAATGGCCCAAATTGATATAATCAAAAAGGTGACTCTCTTCTTTGTGAGATTACTGTGGATCTTCATCCGCATTATCGACATGTGCCGCTCAACAGCTATGACGAGAAGATTCACCAGGGAAGCTGTCAGGCTGGTGTCCAGAAGACCCTGACGCAAAAACCAGCGGTTAACAGTTAAAGTCTTAGACACTGGGCCAGTGTTGAACATCAAGAAGACATAGGCAATTCCAGCAAAAAAGTCTGCAGCAGCTAAGTTGGCCAGGAGATAGTAAAAGGGAAAATGAAACCTCCTGTTCTTGACCACAGCTGCTATGACCAATGAATTTGAAATGAAAATAAAGAGGCAGAAAAATGTCCCAAAACACAGAACAACAATAAGCTTTGGCCCTGTCCACTCATCTACTGTGTCAGTGTTTGTCTTGTTGTAGAAAAAGTCCATGCGCTTATCATAGTAGCATTCATTCATCCTGGATTAAAGCCCCTGCATCCTAGGAAGGATGGAAGGGAAAAAAAGAAAGAAGGATTAAAAATCAACTATTGGTCCTTGCTTCAATCACCATTCCTAACAGCTTTTTTTTTTGGGGGGGGGGGGGGGGGGGATAGGACAGGATCATGAGAGGGTATATATTTGGAGGCCTTAAGTAAAAATTCATATTGTACAGAGTTAATGCAGAAGAAGATACCATATCCACTGGAGGACTGCAGTGCATGAATCGGGAATTTTTAAAAAATACTTACCTGCTTACAAAAACCCAGCACTGTCCCTTTGCACTAGCAGTCATACTGTACAGGCAACAAAGTGGAAGTTAAGAGGTTAAAAGTGACTTTCTGGAGGTCACAAAGAAAACCTGAGCGACAGCCAAGCCATGCTTGCTGTGAAATCCCATGTTTGAGCCACAGCCCCGTCATTATTTCCATTTCTCAGTGTATCCAGTCAGGACAGGGAAGCATAAATCATAACTCCTCCATTTTACTGACTAAGCAATAAAAGGCCTGTTACTGGAAACATATTTTTTGGTTTTTCAATTATATATTAATAAATGTAAAAAAGTATGTATATAAGATGCTACAGGCATATATATTCTGAGCACATGCCTGTTATTTACTGCTACAGGATTTAAATAAATGTGCTGAAGAAGGAAAAATACATTCTACATATTTGACTACCCTACAGCCAGAGATTATTTTATTGGGCTGTCAACCCAGAGCCCTGTGAGCACCACACAGCCCAATTACCTTCAAAACCAGAACACAGTTCCCTACCCAACCACAGGATCAAGCAAGACCCAGCAACAGCAGTAGTGCTGGGGTTCTTTTTCTTATACCCACTCAGCACTATTTTGGACACCGGGCTATTAAACGTGATGGAAGGGGGAGTCTGTGTGCCAGATTACATCACACTTCAGCTACTCCGGTGAGGTCAATGTCAGCTGCCTTGGCAGTTTTATTGCCTTTATTGCGAACCAAACTGAACTCGAACTAATTTACACAGGCAGATCCGACAGCAATTACTCGTCCTGACCAGACCCCGTGCAGGGTCTCGCACCCTAGTAGGGAGAGTTTGTGTCAGATCATCGCTAGCCCGCACGTTCGCTGTCAGTATCCGAATGAGGGTTTTAAAAATGACTTCATTAACAGATATTGTATAGTTTTATCAAAACCTAGGAACCCAACCATGGCGCAAGATCCTAATCACATTAGGTATTACGCAGAGTGGCAAACCTGTGCCTGACTCTAAGGCCAGAGAGGAGGAAGTATCGGGATATATTGCTGCAGGAGAGGCAGCAACGCCAATAGCTTTTGTAAGGCTCCTTGTGAGCGATAGGCTAGGTGGAGCTGAAAAGAAAACAAACCTGCAAGTGGTTACAGGCAGAAAGATACAAAAAAGCATAAGCTTTTCACCTCTGCAGCTAAAAATCGATCACAGATAAAGATCAGACTCACTTAGTCTATTATTACCCTGTGGTTACTTAACAGTTATATCTCGTCTCTCCAGGGACTGGGAAGCAAGTTAAGCAATCCCCAGCAGGCTGGCTAACAAGCCACATTTATATTGAAGGTTCCTTCCGAGTTTTAAGATAAAAAGGTTCATCTTCTGTTGTTTAAATTACGCTACTCATTATTTCTCTCATGCAATATTTGTATTAGATAATTTTAAATCAACTTGCACTATTCCATGATTAGTATTTTCAGCAAAGTGAATTTTTTTTTTTAATATTTCATTTTTCTGAACAAGCTCCTTAGCCTTTTTTTCTTAGTTCCCACCCTACATCTAGTAGTCAACACAAAAGCAGGCCGCTTGACATTGTTGTCCATTTTATCACCCTCAAGAACCTTAGGCAACCACTTCTTTTATAAAAAGACTATATTACTTAAAACATCAAATTCAAGTACATAGTCAGAACTAAGAACAATTACTTAAGGACAAGAAGTGGAAGGAAACAAGTAAATCATACCTTGTGCTGAAATATTACAGAGCATCCCTGCATCTAAAAATAAAAAAGCCTCAGCAACTCAGATCCACTCTAAGGAGTCAACCAGAATTCAAAGCCTACTGCTCCCTGTGCAGGGCAGTATGGTAGAGTTGGGCAGTCAGTACATTCCCAATTCCACCTAGGAAGTACTCAAAAGTCAAGTTAAGTCTGTAAGTGACCAAGAAGTCCCTGAGGAGCTGCAGACAACAGCTCCTCAAGCAGCTGAGTGCTGGGAACCCTGCCAGCCAAGATGGCTCTACTCTTACCCAGAGAGGCAGTAAAGGACTTGCTGAGCTTGACATGAAGCTTTTATAGAACAGCCCAAATGCCTGCAAACAGAAGCAGCATTTTGGGCAAGAATGGCAGGAAAAAAAAAAAAAAAAAAAAAAACCCAACTGTGAAAATTGTAGGGAAGGTTTTCTGAACATGTTGTATCTTACTGTGTAATCATCTCAACAGATGAATCTCTTTTACTTGCAGTGGCAGGAGAGTAAAGAGATCGGCAGATACTTTTTGCATCTCATCTGAAGAACAAGCTTAAAAAAATCCAAAATATCAACTATGAACTTATTCTAAATACTTCAGCTTATTTAGACCCCATCCTCATTTGAAGTAGTACCCCAAAAAAGATAAATCACACATCCATAACTCTCCACCAAAATAATCACACTACAAACACTCACTGTCACACAGCAGAGCTCAAACGACAAATGATTTTGAAAGAGATGTCTTGAGGTGTTGAGATAAGGCAGGAGGGAGTAGAAAAGCATCCAGCTGAGGTCTCAGGGTCACAGGGCAGATTCTGGAGATGTCCAAATGGAAGCCGCTCCAGTTCAGCTGCTGCTTCAGTGCTAGTTTGCATCCCAGTGCTTCAGAGCAGAGATGTAGCACTTGGCTGTCAGTACCAGCCTATATACGAAAAGCACTTGTCACGCCAGGGTCCTTCCAGACAGTGGTTTATTTCACACCTTCATTTTATTTTAAGTCCTCCCAGCAGAACTAGCCTGGTCTCAGAGGAGCTGTGCAGCTGTGACAGAGCTATGCAGCTGTATCCTCAATGGTCCTGCCCCAGTCTGCACCAGGCACGACAGATGTGTGATAGAATATCCCATGTTTCCTGGCATATCACAGTTTAACACATTGCAGGGCTTTATTTTCCAGGTCTTCTCTTCTGCAGCCAAATCAGAGACGTTTATCTTAATCAGGGCAGGTTTAAACTTAAAAAGAAAAAAAACCACCCTTAAATATTACATATTTCAGATTTGTTTATTAAGTACACACAAATTTGAAGATTCAGGCAAAATATTGTTCATCACAGTTTTAAAAATAATAGAAATGCAAACAGTAGAAAACCAGCTAAATTGGTCAGCCCAGCCTTATGAAGACAACAGAGAGTCTTAGAGTCTGCAGCAGAAAGCTCCCCAGTTCTGCTGCTCACTTTGTAAAGAACTGCCTTCTTTTGCTTTGAAAGCGGCTCTCACAAGCTTGATACGTCTCATTTTTTATGGGAAAGGACAGCAAACAATCTCCATTCACCTATTCTATGGCACTTGGTATTTCATAGCCCTCCATATAGAACTCCAGAAGCTTGTCAGCAGTAACCACATATTGCATGTTTTACAGATGGGTTGAGCTATTAGCTTGCCACAAGTCACTCACAAGCAAATGCATGAAAACTTTGCAAGTGCCAAAAGCATACCCTTGTCAAAAAGGTTCTTTTCCTTATTTCAATCTATTTAATTACTTCAGTTCAAGCAATAGAGGCTACAAAGATCAGAAACTGATGGACTGTGAAGTGTGTTTTCCTCTACCACTCTGAGTAAACGTAAGCTTTGAGTGGGAGAAATCATCTGTTCCAAGAATCTCAAAGGATTTGATTCAGTTACACTGCTTTCAAATGCAAAAGCACGCATTAAGAATTCTTCCCAATCCAGCACATCTTGAGCTCTGTTTGTCTTAAAGACAGCTTGTATATCTGAATTGATTTTAAATTCCTCTATGTAAGTGCAACTTGTATCAAGTTAGAATATGCTCTTCACCATTCATAAAATAAAAGTCAAGAATTTGCATGAGTATATAGGAATATATTATACTAGCTACCTAAATAAAGAGTTAGTGAAATAAAACATCACCTAGGTAATGTCTTGAACAAAAGCTTCAGTTAGTTGCAAGCTAACATGCTTTAATAGTTGTTATTCAATTAGAATCTAGTTTACTTCAAGAAAGTTACTAAAAATCTGTATATTTATAATGAAATTTCATATCTGTTATTTAAATCAAGGATTTTGCTGATTCAAACTGTGATTAAAATCACCGTAAGTCACTTCGATTGAAAATAAAATTTGGCCTGTAAATCAGCTCTCAGTTGAGTTACTCACATTAACGCAGACATTTCTGAAGGAAAACTCAAATAGTGTTTTAATGAGAAGGTCATTACAAAGTTTAGCCTGCAAACCATAATGCGATTCATGGCACACCCCACTGGTTTCCTGCCTCTTTCCTGTCCATTAAAAACCAAGTTGTTTCAATACTTTGGCCACAACCTTATTGAAGGGTTGGCATCAGTTTGGGGAACTTTGATGGCCTCTGCCCCGCTCCCGTGTAATGCAACAGGGAGGGAGCGGACAAGCACGGGCTGGCACAGTGAGCTACTGTGAGTGGATTCAAGCCGAGTCTGCAGCTGGGCTGAGAAGCCCATAGAACAGGACTGAACCTATGGGAGGGCTATAGCAGTGAAGTCCTATAGCAGGACTGAAAGTTAGCCTGGGTCAGGGGTGAGGGAAGTCTGCCCAGGCAGAACCCCAGCCCGGCGTACTGCTGGTTTTCCTGAGCTGGCACAGGGATTTCTGTGCAGAAATGCAGGCCGGTTCAGCATCCAAAACGATACGCTCTGGAACAGAAGGAGAGAGAGCGAAGCCGGTACAGTCCGGGCAGGTCCGTGGGATGGCACAGAGGAGCGAGCTGTGCTCAGGCTCAGCCTGCAAAGCGGGCAGGCTGCCAGGCTACG